TTCTTTTAAAAATATAGTCCCCAAAATAAGGATAAGCCCCAAGATAATTACTTACCTGTTGCAAAGGAAGGTCTCTCTTAAGTTGAAAATAGTTATAATCCAAAGTACTTTAGAAATGAGGTTTGGTCAGCTTTAGTGTCCATATAAAGGTTGTACTGCAGTGGCAAACGAAGATGGATCCCCTGCTTTGTGGCCACCCGGCTCGAAAGCCATTTGCAGAAGCTTCCATCTCCGTGATTAGCTTTTGAGGAATGGCCATCTGGAGACCGAATGTGCTGATTTCTTGCTTACTCCTTGATCCAGAGCAAGTTGAGCAGCCAGCACTTGCTGCCAGCCACTGATTCAGCTGCAGTGCCGTCTCTATTTTGAAAATGCCTAAGCCGTCATTGTCCCCACCAGAAGTCCAAGAGAGCCACATTTCTTCAGTGACATAGTTTAGAAAGAAATGGCACATTTGAGTGACGTTATCAACATCGGGGTGGGGGGAGGCAAGGGGGCAAATGACATGTACATCATGACATCACTAATGTCAGATCTCATGACATTAGTACATAACTGCACCATTTACATGGTAACATCACATGTACCATCATTTTGACAATGCTGTGACTGCTTACAGATATTGTCACCAAGCTGAACCATGGACAAACCCTTCACTCCAAAACCAAAGTTTTTAAAATTCTGAAATCCAACAATACCTTTTACATTTTTTTAAAAAACCTGTAGTTTATGTTGGTTTTTGAGATACATTAGGCCAGGTTCTATAAAACGGTTATGCCCTCACAATTGCAGCATTTTTCAAATAGTTAAGGACAAGTTCAATTAATGGGTTGCTAGAACTAGCAGAAACTATACTAACAGAAGAACTATTGACAAATCCCAATGAATACAAGTTTTGATATACTTGCGCTTTAAAAAGAGAAGCCATTATTCTCTCCTCCGAGTATATGTTACAGATCAACACAAGTGGCAGAGCCTAAAACAACCTGTTCAAGTTGTTACTTAATATCTGAGAACAATGTGATACATTTCTGGACTATAGCATAAAGTCCCAAATTACCATTTTTCTATGTAAAAGACTTCCAAAAATAAGTGTTCAGATGTTGTCATCTTAATTGTCTATAACTGTGGGTGATTAGGAAATGTCCAATCCATGTCTCAACCTTTGCAGGCTCTTAAATTTGTGATAATTTTCCTATGTCCAAAGCATAGAGTAATGATTCCAGATTAATTTGTACAAATTTCCATGAAATCAATTCAAAATGAAGGAAAATTGCAAATTCTCTTTAAAGCCAAAGCAAAGTGTAACTTAAATTTCAGTATGGAAAGTGTTTGGAACAAGGGATTGAATCAGGAGAGTTACAGTGATCTAGTAAAATGCAAGGCAGTTCTTTAATCCAGGTAAGAAGAAGGGAACTACCTAGGGCAGCATACATCAATTTGCATCACTTAATGCAGTTATGCAGTGAAGATAAGGGCTTTTAAAGTTTGCTGCTGAGAAAATGTTTCTCCAACTTTGAACTTTTAGAGGAACTTTCCAGATATTGAGAACTGCTCAGCATCCCTGTAATTCCAAATAAAGTGTGACTGCAATGAAAGCTAGTCCACAGCATATTTTATAAACATTTTATTGGTTTAATAGTGTACACAGTACTTACAGTTGTATCTATTAAAGACAAAATACACTTCAAAATGCAGAATAAAAAATTATAAACTTTTGAACTATATACAAACTTGCCTTACAATTTCACAAATATCAATGCCCCAGCTCCATTCACAACCCAAAAGAAAAAAAGAAAAAAAAAAAGGATTTTTACATGCAAAATATTGGAAAAAGCATCACTTGGGGGTTATTATTCCACCCCTAAGTATCAAGCCGCTTTATATACGCTCATGTTCCAGTGCTTTCTAATTCAAAAGAAGAATTCACTTTCCTCAAACCAACTACAGCTTTATCCTTAAATCTACTCCCAATTAAGCATTTCATGGTCTGACGTTTCACTTCTATTTAAGAATTTACATTTGGTATTACCTCTACTTTAATTTTTAATTGAGAACAAAACATTTTGCATCATCTTGTAGTTTGAGATTCCCAAGATTAAAAAACAGTTTGAAATAAATTTGTCTTACACACATGAAATTTAAGCATTGGAATAATAGATTCTATCAGGTAATTTTCACCATTACAGAAAAAAAAAATCTAACTATAGGAATTTTCTAAAGACCAAAAATTAAATAGGTTTCTGCATCATCTACATACAGATATCACAAAGACCGATTTTGTTTGTTTGTATTTTTCAATGAATGGAAAGGTTGCAATGGTTAGATAGTTTTAAGTTGCAAATGTATTGTTAAGTTTTAAATATATATAAGAATTAGGAGAACATTGATTCTCTTAATACCCCAGTATGTAGTAATAAAATGACAGCTGAAAAGAGGAATTTATGGGGAGAAAAATCTCTAACCCAAACTATATTGTATCTTCCCCTCACTCAGCATTATTTCAGAATGCATCAATGCTTTTAATATTTACAGCAACCTCCCCGAATTTGATGTCCTACAGATATTTTGGGACCAGAATCCCAAGAATTCCCAGAAAGCATGGCCTTTGGGTATTGTCAATGAGAACTGTGGGAGCTGTGGACCCAATACATCTGGAGGGCACATGGTGTAGGAAGGCCAATATACAGCAATGGTAAAAAAGAAAATCCCCCCCCCCACCAAAGCATTCATTGTTCCTTCACTAATGCCATCACTTAAATCCCAATCAGATATTTATTATTTAAATCAGTGAAGAGAAATGCTACATGTTGAAGCAGCCAGCTGAAGAACAACACAATAATCAGATACCCAGTATAATGACAATGTAAAGGAAAGAACAGAAAGACTGAAGAAAACAAACAGATTTATAAATGTACAACCTACAATGCAGGCTTAAACAGGACTTTACAGATACCAAATGAAACAAATCTCTCTTTGCTGCCAAGAGCTTAAGTTGGAGCACTGAACTGCATGTGACCAGCAATTGCATAAAATTCGGTTCACACCCAACTTCAAGTTGAAATTTGGTAAAACTAATTCCAAAGGTTTGCATCACTGTTGAATGTCAGCTGTTTGAATTTTTCATGTAGCAATAATTTGCATTTACACACACTCTCTTCATCGCCTCCTGAACTGTTTTCGATTTCAAATAATAAAAAAGGAATTATGTGAAGGCAGACTTCTCCAAGCCATAACAAGATTAAGTCAACTTCCAGGCTACTTTTTATATGCAGCACTTGTGTGAAACTCACTGCACTGTTTTCCATAACAGACCTGCTCCAATACTCCTCCATTCTCAGTTTTGCTGAGCAACTGAAGGGCTGAACAGAAGCCCATGAACATACAAAAGCAGACCTCTTGGCATTTACTGAAATAAGTAATGAAAGAGATATAAAGGAAACAAGGCGATACTTGACAGAATGAATCTCAGATCTGATGTCAAAATCTGAATGATCAAGTGAGATTGCAAAAAACAAACATGGTTTTGCCTTTTTGCATAAGGACAAATCATAAACCTATTATGGACAGGACCAAGGGGAAGAAAAAGCTCTTCACAACAGGAAAAAATGGATTCTGAATTAAATGCTAGATTTACAAAGTGCATTATATATAAAATTTGAAACGACAGTTCATATTTTCATATTCAAAACAGCCTGAACTTTGACAGCATATACAGAGTTATGGTTTGGTTAGAGGAATGATATGGTCCTTACATACTGACCGAAGTTCACAGTTCAGTACTGCATATAATCCTTTGATCACAGAAAATCAATGGATCCAGGCAGAGGATTGGTCTGCATAACTGGAGACATCCACAGCCTGCATAACCAGTTTTTAGGAGAGCAAGTTAGTGACCTTTAACTCAAAAGCACAATTCAATTACAAAACATTTTGCTAGCCACAAAATCAGCTCACTCCCTATCCCTCATGGCCATTCCCTGTGCAAGTATGCAATCTCTTTAGCCACTGGAATAAGCTTACATTTCCTAAGGCTTTACAACTAACTTTCCTAATACTTTTGAGAGAAGAGATTAATTTTGTCCCAGATGGATACATGGTGGGCAGTATTTCAAAGAAAACTTTCAGCATCTTGTCAAGATTTTATGAGAGATTATGCTTCAACAATAGAAAGTTATGCTGCCAGAAAGTAATAACAATTCTAATAAAAAGTGGAGTCTGTGAGAGACCAGAAAAATCACACTGAGAAAACAGAACATGTCAACTCTAGCTGTTCCAAGCATGAGTATTTCTGTGTGGTTCAAATCCCATGGTTTTCACATGGTATAGCTGTCCTATGTCAACAAATCAGTTATTGCTAAGGCAGTGGCAGTTTCAAGCTGGGCCATTGTCCTGCCAAGAATGTTAAAGGCCCCTCGAGCCAGACTTTTCAATCCCGGGTCTAAGAAGGGTGAATGGACAGTCCATTAGTATTTCAGTTGATCGAGTCCACTGCATGTAAAACAAATCACTCACTGCGAGTGTAGTATTTGTTCTGAAAAAGAACAAGGTTGTGCATATAGCAAATTTTCCCATTCAGAAGTTGATTTGATAGGAAGGAGAGGGAACAATTGCAGAGACACAAGATATTTGTCCAGATGTTTTGTTATTTAGTTGGTTGTTAGGATACTCTAATCATCTGTGTCATAGCTTCTTCATTTGCCTGGCTAGGATCCTGTACAGGGGAAAAAAAGGTTTTGTAACCTCTGTTATTTACTTCATAGTATCTAAACACAAGCAAAAGCCACATGCTATTTAAAGGCAGACATTATGTTGCTATAGTACAAATCAGAAGTGACAGAAACTTGCCTCAAGGAAACCCACTATCTAGAGAAGGATTCATTATACGGTTTACTTGGAATGTGGTACTCACACTGATCCAGCTAGATCTCAGCTTACTATTTGGACAGTATGAATCAACATGTTTTTCAACATCTAGCAAGGTAGGATACAGTATGTTTAAGGGATGGCCAGTTGGCAGGAGACAGGCAGCATCTGTCCCTGACTTCCCAGGACAGAATCTGCTCCTCCCAGATTTTTCCTTGGTGTTCTTTGCTGTTTATATAAACAATAGTATTATACACAGAGGTGGTACCCTGCTGCAATTCACTTGTTCAACCAGCTGCAATGTCTCTGGCCCTGTCATTCTAATTGACTAGGAGAAGGGGAGGTTTGTTTTTTAGATTCCTGCACACAAGGCAGCATCTTCCAGTGGACAATTCTAACTTGCTCCTGAATTATGAAATGTGTGAAAGAAGGCAATATCAGTGTTTTGCAGAGAACCCACTAAGGAAGTTGTGGTGTCATACTGAAGGAATGGCTTATTGTGAGGGCACTTGTTTAAACTGATGGTTCTATTTCTCAAAAAAAAAAATATGGCATCACTTGTTTGCTACTCTGAAAATACAAAGAAAAACAGCTTTTCAAGCAAAATGGGAAATGCAATATTTACTATGCCTCAGTATCAAATACAAAGTAACTAGAACCGGATCTTCTGTACCTGCAATCTCTGTTATGAATGAGTATGATCTGAAGTACTACAATCTTTCATGATCATAAGATACAATGTGAAAAGTATTTCAGAGCATGATAGAACACTGTTGACGCTGCTTACTGTAGAACCCAATCCTCAGAGGTACTAAGCCTACTTAACTGACTTAAACCCAATGAGCAGCAGGCAAAATGTCCTATGCATGAACAGCCTCTCTTGAACATGCCACCCTTGAAGTCAAGGGCTATGGGGAGGTGGGGAACAGAAGGCACTGGAAAGATCAGTGGGAGAACAGAGTGCCATGTAAACCATACGGAGGAGAAGGAGAGATGGGGTAAGATGTATTGCCCTACTCACTCTATAAGATCCCTCCAGATTTGTTCTAGGATTGTCCAGACTGTAACCTACCAAAAATGGTTCAGCCAAACTCCTGAACCACAATGTATTTTCTTCAGGTTTGAAACAAAACCTATTTGTGCACTCCTGTCACTGATATTTTAAGACCCTCCAACTACTCAAACTTCAGAAACATAGGGTTTATGATTCCTAATGTAATTAGCAGGATTACACCATGAATAACAGAACCTTAAATTTTTAAGCTATTCTATAAAGCAAAGCAAATCAGATCACCCTTACAATTAAGGATGATTTCTGTCACAACCAGTTGCAAAATGACCAATGACACTGCTTTTGAAATTCCCCGTACATTAATGCACTAACAAAACAAATTTTTTATTTAAGAATTTAAACATATATAAGAAAATTAAAGTGTGCCAAATATACTCATTTTAAAACACTCATTTTAATGGTTAAGTGGCATACATCAGCCATCACAAGAGGCATTTTCTAGAAAATTTAACTTTTGAAGTTGAGACACTGACTTTCTCTAATCCAGCTTTTACCTGGAGATGACTGTTTTCTGGGGTGTATTACTTACGTTTTCCATAGTTTCTTGTAACTTATAATAAGTATCCAGATTTACATCCTTTATAAAGTGAGAAAAAAAATATCCAAGAATTCTGAATTTGTTTCTGGCTGATCTTAAGTGGTAAACTAGGAGCACCTATCCATGAAGGCCGCTTAAATACATACATACATACATACATACATACATACATAGTTTCATTTACCTGCATATGGGGACTATCTTTTTCTTTTGGAGAAAAGAAACGTCCACCTTCTCCTCGTTTCCTTGCCATTGCATGTCGATGTCGGGACTCATGAAGATATTTCTGTATATACAATTACAAAATTGTAGAGATGAAAGCACACCTTATATAATGCTAGCCTGCCCATCCATCCATCCATCCATCCATCCATCCATCCATCCATCCATCCATCCATCCATCCATCCATCTTTATTAAGTAGAGACTAGGTACAAAAAAACTCAGAGAAAAGGCTAGAATAATGCTAAGGCTAAAAAAGGAAGGGGGAAAATCCTCAGTATTACCTAGTTTGGAAGAAGAAACTTTCTCAAAATATAGTGCTGAGACCTCCCAGACCTAAAGAACTAAAGGACATGAATTGTAATTAACTTGTTCCACTAGTTTTAACTAGCATTTTTTACAACTAGGCTGGATTGATGACGAGAGATAACAACAAAAGCCCATTTGGTCTTTGCATATACTATCCAACATTCCCTTTTCAGTAATGGAAACATCAGATGGTTCATAAAGGAAAGCAGTATGTTTAGGGATCAAATGTTTCAGGCTGTATAACCATTAAAGGATATCAACACTTGTATTTTTTGATCAAACAACTGAATTCTGCTTTAAAATAGGGGTGACTGGTGTAGATTTCCTACGGCTGCTGCCTTCTTTTCCCAGTTCTCTAGATGATAAAACAAGGATATCTGGGAACTGCCATCTTTCCAGCAAATGTACAATTACTCCCCAAACTGATCAGTAAAGAGAAAATCTGGGGCCTGAAGACCTATGTAAGGCTGTCTATAAGTAGATACCTGGAGACCCAGAGCCTGGTATCCAAATGGACTGAGTATTACTTCAACTAAGAATAGGACAGTATCTGGAGTGACATGCAAGCTGCTTAGTCAACCTGGGATGTATGAGAATGAAAGAGTAAGTGTGGGCATCTCAGTAGGGCTTCTTCCCTTCTTTCAGTATTTGACTTCTGAGGCATTTTATCTAACTCTAGCCCCTTGGCCTCTTTGGAGAAAGAATAAAGGAGAGGACTGCACAAAGATCTGAGAAGAATGAAAGGTATTTGGGGGGAAGTGATTTGTTTGGCTAGAAAGATGAGAGAAGAAAAAAGAACGGTTCAGTAAAAATGGTTTACTGAAACAAAACTGTTCTATGGTTAATACTTTTGAGCATTATACTTTAAGTGTTCAGAATCCATTTCTCTATTCATGGATTCACTTTGTATTAACAATCCCTTATATAATAACCAGGCCTCCACGTTAGTTCATAGGATTAAAGTTGCAGAGACTGCTAACTTCTTTTGGCAGGACAATTGATCCATTTCTACATCTTGCTCATGTATTGAGTTGTCAGTCTATATTTCTTAACAAGAGGTAACCAAAATTTGTACCACCGTTCTAAACAAGGCATTAATAAAATATGTTGTATTCCTGGTGAAAATGCATTGTATTGCACATATACAATTCATTTTCTCACATCCTTCTATGATCAGCTAAGAACTTTTTCTGTAATTTTCAACTAAAATTTATTTTACCTCATTAAAGTGTTTGTTGCTGAGTTGTAAAGAGTATGTCACTTCTATGACTAGAAAACATAGGCAATCTACTTCTAATGAATTGCCAAGAAAGACTTTGAAGACCAATAATTTATTTCTACAAGTGTAGCCCAGGAGTAACTCATTAAACAAAAAGGCATCAGTTTATACTGTAACTATGATATCCTTTGAGTCCACTATGATTCATTATAATGAATGGGAAAAGAATCCTATGGATGGATGTGGGGAACTTTTACTGAGCAATTGCAATGATGCATAGCTGCTATTTATCTTCTGTGTCTCATGAATTATAATAGTAACTGAAAATTATAACCTCACCCGTCTCTCTTTAGGTATTTTTCCTTCTGCTTCCAGCTTGGCTCTTGCTTGTCTTCTCTTCAGAATCCGGTGATACTGTTTTGCATTCACGTACAGGGGCTCTTCCTCCAGCATCTCGGCTCCAGGCAAAGGTATCCTTTGGATAGCTGGCACTGATCCAGCACCTGGGACCATCTTCATCAAAGCAGGGAAATGTACTGATTAAATGAACTGTTATCTCACCAAAGAGGCACAGAAAGACCAGATAGGAGTGAGAAATGAACACAACTGACTCCTAGAATTCAGAATTCAAACCATTTCCTGAAAAATATTCTTGAAATTCTGTGTTTCTTCAAATCTCACAGAAATTAACATAAAAGCATCCTGTAGCTTGAATATCTCTATTACATCAATTATATTCCAAATATGTGTCACAACAAAGATCAAGGTAAATTTCTTTAAAAAAAAATAAAGCAAAGGGGTATCAAATTAAAAAGGAACATCAATTATATTCCAAATATGTGTCACAACAAAGATCAAGGTAAATTTCTTTAAAAAAAAATAAAGCAAAGGGGTATCAAATTAAAAAGGAACATCAATTATATTCCAAATATGTGTCACAACAAAGATCAAGGTAAATTTCTTTAAAAAAAAATAAAGCAAAGGGGTATCAAATTAAAAAGGAATGAACTAGTCTTTAAATCAGGCTGGCAACCTTTTTGGTCCTGTAGGTCAAGTATGTTTCTGGGAATGGGCTTTGCAATCATTCAAAAGTACTCATTCACATATACCACACATACCCATAAAACATTCCATCATTGGGGTAGGGGGAAATCTCATTACTATATATACTCATGGATAAGCCGAGAATTTTAGGTGCCAAAATGCACCTAAAAAATCAGGTTTGGCTTACCCATGGATGGGCTTATCCTCAAGTATATACAGCAATACTTTTTTAAAGTACCCGTATTTCCCGTATATAGTTGCAGATAAGTCCATCTGCGGATAAGCAGACCCTCGAATTTTTAACCAAAATACCATGAAAAATGTAGGCCAGCTTATCTGTGGGTGCTGCATTTTTCATGGTATGTTAGTTAAAAATGTGAGGGTCTGCTTATCTGCAGATTGGCTTATATATGAGTATGTACCTTCCGTCCAATGACCCTGCTGTACATTTTTTTTGTTTGTTTCTCCTGCTGCTAAGTTTGAGGAAAATTAGTGATCATAAGCAAGTTTACTGAAAGACAAGCCATGAGAAAAAATAGACAATGTTCCTGGAGGCCCCAAAATTTGCCCACTTGTGGCATACATTAAAACCCAGTAAGAGAAGGGGGAGTAAAATGCAATACACACCATGACCATTCCACCAGAGTTAACCACATTTCCAGCAACAGGCAGAGTCACTGTTACTGTCCCTTGTCCACTGCTAGTTGTATTGGTGTTGGCTCCAGTCTGAACTATCTGTGCTCCAGCCAAACTGGCTGCTGGGATGGTGATCATGCCTGTAACAGGGACTGTAACTTTAACAGAACAGAACAGAACAGAACACATTAAAAAAAAAAGAGGGAATAAATTTAGTCCCATTTCAAATGTTATTCCCTCATTCTGAGTCATGCTTATGGATATTTTTAAATGTGATTTTTGCAGAGATCTGAACTGACCCATCCTCATGTGAATTAAGCAGGTATTTCTAAACAGAGCTAAATCAGCATGAAATTCAAGATTGCCAAATGGCTTACTGTTAAAGCAAAAAATGTTAGAATACAAGAGATAACTTATTTTTCATTTGTTGCTAACTGAACTATAATGGGCATCATTCCCACAAAGATATAATAATGTCCACTAGGCTTCATATAAGCTTAAATAAACTCATGGAACATAGATTCATTGAGTGCAATAAGAAGTGCTTAAAGGGCTTTCCAGTTCTATGGCAATGTATTTCTGAGTATCAGGTGCTGGGAACAGAGATGTCTGTCATTTTAATATCTTTCCCATAAGTAAGCAGAAAATACATACTACACATTAGCTTCTGGCATAATTAAGGCTGTGTAGTGTTTCAGATTTCGTTTCAAAAAGGTCCTTTGAGGTGAAATGCAAATGCAGCATCTGTTGGCAATCTGTTAAAACAGAAACATCTTTATCCAGGATTGCAGAGATGCTGCACTGACAGATGCTGCATTTCATTCCTGCATATTTTAAAGCAATTTTACAGAACTGAATCTGAACAACTAACAATTTCAATCCAAAAAAAAAAACATCAAAGAGACCTGAGTTCTAATTCAATGAAACCAAGCAGATGTTATGGACTTCTCATAGTCTGGGGAAGTGATGCAGTTTGCAACATATTACAAGTGGAACATATGCACACTCCCTTTATCAGAAAAATGAGTAGCTACCACCCCACTGCATCAACAAGCAGTTAATGAGAGTATCAAGGAATCTTACACTGCTAAAGTAAATGTATCCAGTTGTCAAGATTAATGTCAAGCTCCAAGTAGTTGTACTTGCAACCAAGACAGCTAGATTCACATAGCCTTTTTAACCAGATTTATAGAAAGTGGAAAAAAAGGGGAGTTAGATTACAGAAATCTTGGCAACTGGATACATTTCCTTTAGCACTGCAGAATAGCACCTCCTCAGAAATTAAAGTTGTTCTGCTGTTGATCACTTTCTAGAAGCTGATGAAGATGGAGCTCTTCCAAAGAGCTTTTGATGATCATTAGGAGACACTACTTCTTTAGCTGTGGTATGAAGGGTCCAGTAATATTTTTAGGAATGATGTTAATTAACTGGTTTATGTGCTGCTGTGGAGGTTTTGATTTAATTTTACTTGGTTTACTGTATTGTTTTTTAATATTTTAATATTTTAATATTTACTGTATACTGTAAAATACGCTCATTGTGTATTTTTGTTGCGTTGCCAGGGACTAGCCAGGAGTCTCAATGAAACATGTTGGTATGCAAGACTGATAAATAAAAATGAATAATAAATAAAACACGCCATATGAAATTTGGAAGTTATGGGAAAGATAACAGCTGAGCAGCACCTCCCAATGGTCAATGAGGAGTCTTACAAAGCTTCTGTATAACACCTTACAAAATATGGATGAATCTTGTAATTACTTGCCACAGAATGATTTTGATACATTTTAATACATTTAATGCAGTTTTAAATATTTTATTTTAGGGATGTACTGCATATATATTAGTCCCCGAGGTTCCTATATTTATCCTTGCTGAGTGTAACCTAGTCTTCAATCTCGACAGCAAGTAATTTTTCAACAATACTGTGAGTACTTCTAAATTGTATTTAAAAAACAAAAACAAAAACCAACCACCTGTATCCCTATAGTCCATGAAAATGTATATTTTGTAGTACATATTACATATTTAGGAAGTGAGTGACTATCATTTCCAAATTGCGAATACATGGATTCCTTGAATCCTTGTGTTCTTGCTGGAATTCTAGAATGATCAGCTGACTTTCTGAAAATGAAATGTACAGGTAGTCCTCACTTAACAACCATTCATTTAGCAACCGTTCAAAGTTACAACGGTGCTGAACAAAGGGACTTATAACCGGTCCTTGCACTTACAACCATCACAGCACACCCGTGGTTATGTGATCGCGATTCAGGCGCTTGGCAACCAGCTCACACTTATGATAGTTGCAGCATTCTGGGGTCACATGATCACCATTTGCAGCCTTCCTAGCTGGCTTCCAGCAAGCAAAATCAATGGGGATCCACATGATTTGCTTAACGACCATGATCTGCTTAATGACCTCTGTAAAAAGGTTGTAAAATCAGGCGTGACTCACTTAACAACTTCCCTGTTTAACAACAAATCTTCCAGTCCCTATTGTGGTCATTAAGCGAGGATTACCTGTACTTTTCAAGAAACCAGCAGTTTCAGGTTTGAAACCAAAGCACTGTCACCACGGCAAATAGCATATCACCATTAGTAACGGCCATGTCAATCCATCACTGCAGAAAGCTCATAACTACCAACATCTTATAATTCTGACAAAGTAGGATTAAAAATATTCACTCTCAAATTTACACATTTATGCATACACACCTACATCTGACTGGTAGGCTGCTGGAAGTGCATACAGTCATACCTCTACCAAAGTATGTCTGTTAAAAAACTGAAGTGAAGGACAGAGATAACAGTATAGCTCTGAGGAGATTAGGAAATAGTATACCAATCAGATATCAGTAGGAAAACACTGGTGCTCTGGGGAAGGGAGCACTCTCTAGTGCTCCCCTCTAGCTCATCAAGCAGAAACTGGCAGGCTACCAGAAGAGCAGACACAGCAGGGAAATACTTATTAAAGGGCACATGGTAGAGAGCACAAGAGGTTGCCAAGGGCTATATGGGGCTTATTAGCCATCCACTCATGTTCCAGAGATTAAAAAAAACAGAGTGCATATAATTCTGAAACAGTTGATATTACTTGGATATCAACGTGTGGAATCCCTACCTTGTTGAAGAATTGTTCCATCAGCATTAACTGGTTGATAGACAATTGTCTGACCTTCTGCTGTCTGAGCTACCTGCTGTCCTTGGACTGCAATCTGTGGCTGGGTCTGTAGAAGCAAACATCCCATGAGATTAAAACAGTGAGCAACATAAAACTATTGTTTTGGGATTTTTCATGGTTTCATATAAAACACTATGCCAAGACCAATTCTCCTGCATGTTCCATTCACCTTCCTCCCCTTAGTTGAACCCACTTTCCAATTTCTTCCCCTTTTAATATGCTACCTGTGTTTGACCAGCAGTTACTGCTGTCTGTGGCTGCTGGATGATGATTTGCTGTGTCTGGCCCTGCTGGCCCTGAACTTGTACAGCTTGCCCACCTTGAATCTGAATCTGACTAGGCTGGACCAACTGAATCTGTGGAGATATAAAATAGAGTAAGATGCTGTTAACTATTCCTAATCATGGCTTTATCTAATTATTCTGATTTGTTAACCAAACAAAAGGTGGAGGAAAAAGAAATTACTTATCTTGAATAACAAAAGCAAAGATAAAAATGCTGAAGGGAGAGTTGTCTGCACCACTATATACACTGTCTACAGCAAGAGTGTTAAAGAGCAAGGATAGGCGGAAAAAAAACTTTAAAACTCCTAGAAGACATTTTTTCACAATTCAAAAGAATATGAAGTCTTAAGCAATAAGTGTTCAAACATATAGTAACATAGCTCTTCATCAAGTAGGGGAGCATTCTTGCATGATGTTCAATATGAATCTACATTAGTGATCTTGTAACTGGAGTTACAAAATGTGATTGGAATTCCATCATTCTCAGGCGGCAGATTATATTTATTTTTATAAAGCTTTTCCTTCAAAGAGGAAGTCCAGGCAATAATCACAAGTGATGCAAGCAGTAGTCCAGCAATATCTGGAGAATCACAGATAGCTCACCCATCAGTAATAATTATTTTAGGAAGCACCAATAAGATTAAGTTGATAGGCCCTATTGCAATAAAAATGGTAAATGTTTCTTCCTCTGAAACTGATTTCCTTTTTGTCTGACACACAAAAATTATTTTATTTCACAGGATAAAAATGCAAGAAATTTCTTCACAGAAATGTAATTTTTTAAAAAAAGAATTAATCTGATTTACTGAAATAATTAATTTACATCTGTTAGCAAAAACAACTCTTCTGAGGACCTGTGTAAAAGACATATTATACCTTTGAATACGAGATGATGGGGGCAAGCAACAAGCGATGGTTGCCTCCATTATACCTAAGTTTGAGCTTCCCTGTGATATTTTCCTAGCCAGAGCTGGTTAGTGTATGGATTGGCTCCCATCTGATCCAATTTAAGTTGATTTGATCCTTCAGATTAATTAGGAAAAATGATACAAAAGCTTTTCCAAATTGTTGAATCAATCTGAAGCAACTAATTTCATGATATAGTTTTTCAATTCAATTTGAAAACTGATTTGATTGAAAACCAATTTAATAGAATCACTGCATTGCATAACACTAGTTTGTCATTTGGGCATACTGACCTGCTGAAGTCCCTGTGATCCTGAAACTGGGACCTGCATAATGGTCTGACCTTGACTTCCAGGTACAGCCTGTACCATAATTGGTTGACCAGTTGATGTGATTAGCTGTCCTCCACTCACTTGTACCATCAGTGGCTGACCCTGGACCTAAAGAATGGGAAACAAGAGAATCACAATGAAACACAAGCTCAGAAAAGTAATCAGCTTCAGGCATCAAAACCTTCTTATATAGAAACTGTGCAGAAAATAACAACAACAACAACAACAGCAACTTGATAGTTAGATAAAAATGCCAAATCCAGTCTAAACATCTGGCTGACTGTGCGACCAACAGTAGTAACATAACTCTGGGTAGCTCACAACCAAAGAAATTATAATAAAATTAATAAAAGGTAAAAGATAAAGATAAAATATGACAAGCACGACCAAAGTGTGGCAGCAATGGGACTACTTCATGCATCATCACAGGCTGGCACAGGTGACTTTGATAAGTTTGTTTCTTAGAATTTAATTGCAGCTTTGCATTATAACCCAAAAGAATGTGTCAAGTTTAAGATATAATCCATAATTAATGGTTATATTATCACAGCAGATGACACCATTTAATTGAGCCTGGCTGATCTTAAAAAATCTGGTTTGTACTTTGATGGGCAACCAGGAAAACCCAGAGCAGTACACAAGTTTGGGAAATTGACAATCCCCTCCCCAATTCAGCATAAGCACCTCAGTTCATTAACCTCAGGGAATGGCAGGGTTGAGTGAAAAAGAACAGTAGTAAAAATCACCTTCCCATTTGTTCCTTGTTGATGACCACTGGTCTTAGGGTCTCCCCTCTGTATACCTTTTAATTGAGGATTCTGTACTACCAGGAAAGCAGAAGCTATTTAAATTGCATAAAGCAGACTTAAAGCCTGATGTGCACATAGTATTTGTGTCATGACATGTATTGGAGCAGTGATGATAGACATACACTAGTTACACATAGAAATTTCCAAATGTTTCATACAGATTGAGACTTCATCCAGGTAGCATTAATTTTAAAACAGATGCTTAAAATTATGAGATCTGAATGAGACTCAAAACAATATCCTTCTTTATCTCTTTTAGATGTAAAGTACATAAAAATTGACATTTATGCCATAAGACCATGAGGGCATACTTCTGAAACAAAAGTTCCCATTCTCAAGATTCTAAAAAAAAGTGTGAGAGATATGTATGTAATGTATATTGCCTACTAAATCTGTTCAATACCTTGAATCTCATCTCAAAAACATGCCTTGGAGCACACAGCTCATCTATGCAACATCTCAAAGCAGCCATGTGCTTTCCCAAGACTGAATCCAAAGTGCTACACAGCTCTATCGCTTCCTACTACTATGAAGCACCAAGAAGTAGCAGTAGTAGCTTTAGAAGACAGGCTCCTGAATTTCATGAAACTCAAATAGTTTTATGAATATGTGGACTTGTAACTAATTCAGACATATTTAAAAACTGAAAGGGTAGTCCAAGAAGAACATAAATGTTAAAATATATCCATAAAAAAAGATGAACCTCTTCTGAAAGCTTTCTACAGGGCTTAGGCCAGGCTAAATAAAAGCTCTTTCAAAATGTTGGTTTTTAACTTTCATAATTACCACAGGGATTATGGAGTTTAAATCCAACACGTATGGATAATTCTAGGTTAGGAAAGGCTAACAAAACAAAAAATAGAAGAGCTAAAAATGTAAAATCCAGGGTAGGTCAACACAAATCAAATAAAGTTCATCCACAGCATTTTATTATTTCTTAAGTATAACAAAATACTGTATATTGTTTTGAAAAGTTTAGTAAAACAAAAAAAAATCCAAGTAAGAAAAAAATACCTTTGATGATACTACAAGATGGATGTTAATGTGCTTTATAATACTAACACTTAAAAAAAGCAGGGAAAACAGAAAGTAAAAGTAGTTCTGCCTTATTTAACAAATGAGTGTTCACATGACATTTACCATTTCACAAGAACACAAATCAGGGTTTGAAATCTCTCTTCTCAATATTTTAATATTGCTTAAGCTAACATATATTATTTTCTTGATTTCTGTACTAAACATAATCCATTAACTACATCTCTCAAACGAAAATTCTTTTTTGCAAATATCTCACTGGTGAAAGGGAAAACAATCCCTCATATAATTTTAAAATATTCTTCTTTATTAAAAAGTCTTTATGGAGGGTGGTAAGCCTACAGTTGTCTCACCCCCACACCACCCCTATTTTTTTCAATCGGCAGTAGTAGAAGTTTCAGATAAGTCAGTTTGCTGCATGCATTTTTAACTGGATAATCCATTCCAACATTTTTGTTAATTCGACTGTTATCTGCTACAGTTAGAATAAGCTATCACCCATACATATTGAACTATAACTTCTTTGACACACAGCCAGCATGAGAATCGGCTGAGCAGTTTATTCCATCCCATCTAGGGACATGAGATGTTACATATTATTAAAACTGCCACTATTTTTCTGTTTCCATTTCAAGCCCCAGTGCAAACACAGCATCAAACATGCAGTGATGGGGTGATTCATGCAGTGCTCACATAAAAACAACAGATAGATCACCACTACCTGGAGGGTCTGAACTTGCTGGCCTGAGGCAGATGCCACCTGAGCCTCAGTCTGCAACTGGACAGCAGTCACACCACCCTGCTGCTGGGAACAGGAACAGGAAGAGCTTGAAACTTGGCAGGAGGAAAGGAAGAGCTCAAGACAAGATTTGTTTTAAAAAAAAAAAAACTGCCAGGAGAGGATAACAGGCCCTACAAGGAGGAACTAGCTAGTCCATTCTTAATGTGGTGGCCTGCCAATGTTCAATCTGTATATTACTCTCAGGTCAAAAAGAAGGAAAGTACACCCTTTCTCAGTGCAAAGTTTGGAAGCTCTAAATAAGGATACAGAAGACACAAACAGATGGCTGACTTGAGGCCTCTGAACACGGATGGAAGAAATCTGAACACACTGATATTGCATTGGGCCTAAATCAGTGTAGCCCTTAACTGTGATTTCTCTCAGAAAAAAGCACAAAGATTTAATAAAACAGACAAGATAACAAAGAAAAATAGTATGCCACCTGTAACCTTATTTACATTAATCCAGGGGATCTCTAACTTTGTAGTACTGTAATGAAATATTAAATTATTTTATGCAGACATCTCCCACAAGCAAAACAAATGATTACATCAGTATTAGGGCTGGCCAAGAAAGATACACCATTTAGTTTTAATAATTATGTTTTAATGTATAAAGATCATATGGGTCCTTGCAAAGCTGTGCAAACCACATGGAGGTGCAGTTCACTTTGGCAGAAATCCTGTAAGAAGTGTCCTCTGTGCGCATATATGACTGGGCAAAGACATTTGGTGGGGACATGATTGCCTTTACACTTGAAGGAGTGGTGCTTCTTTTGCAGCAAAAAAGGTCACCAAATATTTTGCACAGCTCTAACAATCAGTAAGGAAGTACCTATTCTCCTTGGCACTTAATGCTGTTAAGAACCAACATACTGAAATCTGAAGTACAAATAACTGTCACACCTGTTGTTGTATCTGTCCAGCTTGCACAACTATCTGTTCTGTTGAGCTACTGCTGTTTGTGGTGTACTGCTCCATATTTTTCTGTGTCAATTCTTTATCCAATCCGCAGAAACCTAAAAGAAATCACAGAACATTACTGTCAGCGTGGATTGAGAGCGCAATTCATCTGGGAACCGTAAAATAACCCCTTACCCCACTAGTTAAGACATCTTAACAAAATCTCCCTACCATCCAAAGATCCCATTTATAAAAATTGTACCTATCAGCTTAACCCAACAAGGTCCTTTCAGAAATATCAGGATGCCAAGAAAAAAGCTAAAGCAACTGCTTATTTCCTTAATCCAGTACTAACCACTTATGATGGGCAATGCATTATGGTACATGTGAGCCTACTCCTGCTTAGAAAGCCTAAAATCAGCAGTTATGTACCAGTCTTTAGTAGCACCTATTCTCTTCTTCATATAACTTCTTACAGCTTATCAGTATTAAAACAAATCTAAATCAGATAGCAAACCATCAGGTTTGATGGTTTAATCAGTCTGATTAAAATACGAATTAGAAAAAAACTGAAAATATAGAGAACTATCCTAGAAAAAAAACCAATATCTAATTTTACATTTAATTTCAATATACTGAATATCCTATTGCAGAGAATTTCATAATTACCTCCAAAACCATGCACCAAACATTTGAAGCAAGAATTCTTTGTAAAACAAGAATTTCAAAGGGCATCCTCATCATCAGATAATAGGACATTTCCAGGTCTAAACTATTCTACATAGGGCATTCTACAGGAATGCAGAAATTCTGAATACAATTTCATTCATGATAAATATAACACTTCAAGTTTGCCTTACTTCAACAGGTACTGTCTAGCTTGTTATTTGCTAACCTGACCTCTTGTTAGATATGTTTTTTAGGAAACTGGAAATGAAATTACTACACGTGTGCTAAGGCTGTTCTGATGTTAATTACTGCAAATCTATAACAGAAGCCCGGAAATTCATCAGGCAACTTTTCCCCAGACTAGGACATTATCATCAAGGAAAGGAGCCTATTAGGAGCTATTAGGAAGAAAAAAACAGAGCATCATGGGCAGAGCAAAGATGCACACAGGCAGGATGCAAAAATAAAGTGCACAGGCAGATAAAACAGATTCACTGAAATGGTTCCCCTTGAATTTAGTTTCATATGGGACCCTCCCAAATCATCACAATTTTATAGGTCGTCTCAATGTTCACAGACTAAACTGGGATGAAGAACGTTTTGAGGGCCAAAGGCTGCATTTAATATTGGAGTAGGAGAAGATTGCACAGTGAGCTGAACTATATTACAGATACGGGCAGGATTAGGTTTAGGGGAGAATTTGACATATCTTTATTTTATGGCTCACTCTACAGTTTACACACATTTACTATCTTAAAATGGCACAAACCTTTGCTGACAGTTTTTTGCAATCATGGTTAGAGGGGGCTCCAAGGGTTGCAAAAAGGGGGCTGGAAAGGTTAAGGTGCAAATTGTCCAGCCCTAGGTCATAAAAATAACAGTACCAGTACTTTCCAGTACTAACATCATCAACATATTATTTTTACAAGGTTCCTCAGAAACCACCATCCAATTATAAGTCAGAGGTCTATGCGTCTATAGATGAGTTATTTTACATTTGTTTTGATGTCTCAGGTTAAAAATCATTTGAGGTTTTACACCTGGAGTTCTATTCTTTTTAATATGCATTCTATAAATATTGACAGCAATTGAAATTTGCTGGTATTTGGGAGTGGTGGCATATAAAAATGCACAAATTCAAGAGGTTCCTTTTTAACTGAATCTGGGAAAAGGGTGGCAACCCAAGGAGCAATGTATCAGCATTCTCTCAAAATTCAGTGTGAACATGGGCCCTGGAATGTTGAGGACCACTGTTCTACATAAAGATGCTGTAACAGGTTCACCATGGGGATTTTTTTCTGAGACAAGCCTGAGCATTATCTTCAAAGTAATGCAAGATTAATCTATTTACAAAGGCTTTTGATGCTCAGGTTAAAATCAGTAAAACAAAATGTTAACCTAGAGCATTCTAATCTATTAGAAGTGCTTTAGATTTTTGTGGTTGTTTAAATTTCTGTTATCTTTTTTTCTACATTGTAACATATCCACATTTTTGCTGGATGACTTTTTTTTGTTTTGCTGGATGAGTAATTTTTCATTTTTCTATTGTTAGGAGAAACCCTTTCCTTGATAACAAATAAAGACAGATTTTGTTAAAAAAAAAAAAAAGTTTATTTTAACTGCCAGAAACAAGAGAAAAAAGATCCTGGTGTATATGGGCTAGACTGTGATTCTTGGAGTTGCTTTTGTTCTACAGATGATAACTTTGTATGTAGTTCAATCCCATGTATATTTATACTACAATAACTCTCATCAAGCTCAATAGGCCTACTTCCAATTATGTGCTCATATAAACCCTCAGGCACAAGCAAAAATCTCTAATTAAGATATAATATCCCACTAAACAGTGGATTTTCAAGAAATCAAGTACTGTAAATATGAAGTGGGCCCAACTGAAATCAGAAAATGAAGAATGAGTTTCTCTGTGAAGCAGAAATTGGGAGTTTGGAAAGGGAAACTATTAGTGGTGGCACAGGGGCAGATGACTGGGTGAAAGTTCTGGGTCTCCAGAAGTTCAGGAAGCGGGGGTTCTCCTCCCACTTATCAGGTAGCAATAAATTTCTTTGAGTTACTATGGGACTTACTGCATTTATTATTAAATTTATATCTTGCCTATCCTCTTGAGAACTCGAGGGAATATACACAGGGTCTTTCCTCATTTTACCCCCACATCAACAATAGGCAAGGTAAGCCCAAAGCTGTTCAGAGGGAAACTTTGGTTTACATTTAAACACACCCTCTTGGACAGGATTTTAAAACAGTCAGCAACAAATACCAGACAGTGCAATTTTCTACTCAACAGCTCTAACATATTGGCTTGCCTCTCCCAGCCACTATAGGTAAAGATATGGTGGTGATAAATAAGGGATATCCGGAGGGAATCAGAATTGGGAAAGACTGAAGTAGTGTAAGTTCCTCCAGCACAGCCAAGCATAAAGTAGGTCGAATCCAGCAGGAGTGGGACTAGAGTGATTCAGGTAGTTAAACAGCATTCAAATATTCATATATTCTGACTAATCTTGCAGGAGACTGCCAGTACTAATTTAGTCAAGAAACTGAAATTGTTTTTCATCAAGTGTATTTGTACAAGACACACTATTTCAGCAAATCCTACTACTAAGCTGAAATCAGAAGTAATGGGGCAGACTTCCTTCTGAATTCAGTTGTGAGGCCAAAGAGGAGACTAGCATGCTATATGATTGTGATGTTTCATATCACTTACTAAATTCTACCCTTTTTGTTTTTAGCACAAGAATGATCACATTTATCAAATCAGAGAGATAGCTAATTGAAAACTATTGTACCTTAGGGTGTCTTACATTTGAAATATCACATTCCTTTCTCTATTTTAACTATATTTTGAAGCTTACTTGCAGATAAACAATAGTTATAACATTTTGATAACTTATTTTATTTTTTTAAACAAGCCAGTAATTCAATCCATTCCCTTTTTGAAAATTCTAGACTGGACTACAAAGCATGCTCTCCCTAAGATTTTATGTTCAGCAATATATAAATATACACGGAAGATAATAAAACCCAAAGTAAAAAAACAAACAAAAAACAAATCTATTATTCCCTAACATTGTATTTAAGGAGAGGCCATATACTGTAGCCCTCTTTATCATATGGAAACATGTTTAAAGCCACTAAATAATTTAACAGGGAAATACGGCTTTTCCTACAGGAAGTACATAAAGAGACTTCACCAAAAAAAAAAAAAAAAGAATATTGCCATATGCATATTCTAACATGAGAGAAGAAAACATGCCTTAAATCCACCGTTCATTGAAAGGCGCCTCTCTCGGGTTATGGGTCAGCCTATGCAATATACATTTGTAATATGTGAAGGAGCCTATACTGGGCACAACCAGCAGTGGCTTTCATCTGAGGCAGATTCCAATTATCTTAGCATAATCGTAACACGATAGGTAAGGAGAAACCCTTTGTTTTGTGTCAGCATGGGAAGAAGCAGCCATGAAGAGGCCTCCTCGGCGAGAACATCGGTCCTGATCGAAGGCTAATTTTTTTGAGGCAAGAATTTGGCAGAGCGGTAGACAGAGAAACGCAGCGCGCTGTGCCCCGCGGTGTTCGGTTACAGTCCATGCCCTGAAAGGCGTGCGAGCGAAACTGACCTCGAGGGCCAGCGGCCGCCAAACACAGGATGGCGAGCCCCTTATACAGGCCACTGAAAGCCGCCCCGTGAAGCAACTGCAGGAAACGCCCCACGGGCTTTCCCTCGTTCCCTTCATCCAGCGAAGGCCGCAGAAAGGCATCTCCGAAGGTCCTCCGGCGGCACCAGCGGGACCGGGCCGAGCAAGACGGCACTAACTAACCCTATTCGCGTTTGCCCCCAAGAGTGACCTCCCCGTTCCCACGTCAGCCACACATCCCACTTCGATGCAGGTTCCGGGCGCCAACGGGCCACAGCCACTCGCTGCCCCAGCGCTCGCCCAGCCCTAGCCCGCGCGCGGCCTTCTGACTGGCCACTCGGCCCCGCCCATCCCGGCTCTTGGGCCGGCGCTCGGGGGCTCCATATTGGCTGCTCGAACTCACCGTGCCTTGCTCCCCCGGTTCGGGTCCCGCTCTGACTGGCTCCGCCACCGGTCCCCGCAACCCAATCAGCGCCCCCACTCAGCCGCCGCGCAAAATGGCGCCCAACCCCCGAAGCTCAACAAAGAGAAGGCGAGGGTGCCCTCGCGCAGGCGCCGTATAAAAGTTCCTCCCGCGGATGCTTGCGCTGGTTTAAAACTGCACGCATGCGTTGGCTTCTTTCGAATTGGCGGGTGCGTTTAGGCCGTTTCTATTCTCTTTCAACCCTTCTATTCTTGAGATGGGTTTTCTACGCATGTGCGGGGCAAATTTTTTTTCAAAAGCTTTTTTCAATGACACCTCACGGCCCCCTTCTTTATGCAACGAATGCTCTCGGCCGGTGCCATAGAGCCTCTTCCTAGAAAGGCCCGCGCGGAGGGTGCCATTTTGTGCTTTTTGTTTAAGAGGGCCTCCCAAAGAGGGTTGTCATAACAGAACTAAGAACTCAGTGGGAGGTGAAGCCGTGGTTGCAGCCGTTGTATGTCTAGGCTGGCGGCCCGTGTGGTTCTTTTTCCTCTCGCTGTTGCTGGCCAAGGGAATTCGCGGGCGGGGGCGGGCTGAGGAAAACGACGCG